ATTTTTCCCCCGTTTTTTTTTCCTTTTTGACCCCGGCCCCCCCTCAAAAAAAAAAAAAAAAAAAAAAAAGGCAATTTTGGAAGTAGGTGTTTTTAAAATAAAAAATAAGTCAGTTGTAATAACAGCTTTACTATGCAAATGTGCACCGAAACTACTCCAAGAGGAACAGAGTAAAAAATCAGTTGCTACTGTATCTCTGTAACATGAATATTTGAAATTTGTAGATAAGTATTCACCAAACACTTTGCAATCAGAATATCTATTCAAATTTTAAGAGGACAATATTATTATTCTTCAAATAGGATACGCAGTGACATAGCGGTAGTGCTTTCTTAATAACCCTCCTTTAAGCTCAGTTTAGAAAGCATTTGTTTTGTTATTAAAATTACTCTACATATTTGAGACAGACTTCAGCTGAACAACTGCCTAACACGTGCTAGACACATATTGATTTTTTTGTCTTAGCCCAACGTTTCCCCTGGGCATCATATTATTTATTCATAAAGCAGAAATGATGTCTGACAGGCAGTTAGAGGGGTGTAGAGCTGTAGTCCAGAAACAATGTGAAAAGCTTTGCAAGGACCCCAAGAAATCAATGTGCTGTTGCTAAAGAGCAGCCTTTTAATTCTGAGCACACATTCTTGCAATCATTCAGTGTGGAAAAGGAAATTTAAATAACAAATAGTTACTATTAATACTGCAGGCCTAAATTTTCATTCATCTTTATTCCAATTATCTGAGCCAAGGTGGAAGTAGGCAGAGAAGGCAACTAGCCAAGCCCAGACACCTCTCAGCCGTAAAGCAGGCTCACTGCTCTCGCCCTAATTTTCACATTTGTATGTAGATTTCTGTTGGAAGTAAGATATTTTTATCAATAAAGATTTAAAACCCAAACGTTGTTCAGAGAGCCAGATATTCCTGAAATGTGCATGATTCATAACCACTTACTCTAATTGAGTGTTAGACTGATGTCTGCACAGCAGATTAAAATAATAAATAGCTGGTATTTTTAGAATGTGAGTTGAAATATTTTGATAAGCTAGTCATTGTGATAGACCTGTTTGAAAAAAATTAGGCAAAAGGAGATTTGTTCTGGTTTTGTTCATTCAAAATTAGATCACAGCATACTATCAAGCAGTATTTGCTGGTGGAAGATATATTTTATGTCCAAAAATGTTTTGTCTACTGAAAATAGAAAAAAAATCGAACTCACAGGTGTTCTTAGGAAACTTTTTCTCTGACCTTATACTTCTCTCAGCGAGATAAGTAACTTTAATTATTGTATTATTGTATTTGAAATGAGATAGACATCTGAATATCTTGTCAAATCAGGTCACTATGGAATTTGTTTCTTGTTATTTAAAACACAGATAATGCAGTCAAAAAAAATAGCACATCATCATGTAATTGAATATTTCATCTTAATGTATAAACACAAGGGAGCTGAACTAAATTTGTTCTGGCATTTCTTGACTTTCTAGTACTTGACTTTGAACCTGAATGTTCTTTGATATATAGGGTTGGGAATATCAAAATTTGCTTTGCATATTTTGAGGGGGGAGGGGAAATGTAAGAAAAGAATTCATTTCTACTCTATAGACATGAAAGTTACTGTCTTTCTCCTGGTTAATAAGGTGGTCATGTTATTTACAGTGAAACCGAGGCACACATTAACCTTGTGAAGCTAAGAAGTTAACACACGTATTCCTTAAATTGATCTGCAGAACACCTTATGGTTGTTTTCCCCAGGGAAGGCTTTGACCTCTTCAATCACGAAACATGACAATAAATACAATTTTAAATCACTCAACTGGGACAGCATAGTCTGTGTCCATCCAGGATAAGTAAGAGTGACTCAAGCATGCACACTTTTTTCCCCCCAGGAAGTGGCCTTTAATAAGAAGGGGAAAATATGATACTTCATTGGTATCTTCTAGGAAATCAAAAGTATGAACTTTCACATTTAGTGTTCTGACTTATGAAGATGGCATCGGGGAAGCATGACAGTGCTTTCAGATGACTTGTCTTTCATGGATTTGAAAATCTGATTTCATCTGACTCGATCTGAAGATAGTGTACCAAAAATGGCATTTTTCTGGGCTATTGTACATGTTGCAATGGGCATGTTTTTTATGGTTCCTATCTCATGAGAACATGAAGTCACGAAAATACTTCATTTCTCAAAAATGGATGCATTTTGATTTGCTCTTCCCAATACTTTTGAATGCTGCCATTAACTCACAAGAGTTACCATGTATTTACAAATAGGTTTTAAATAACAAATTTACTGCATAGCATTAAGGATGTCTGAATGTTAAGTAGCGACTTTAAATGTCACTTTTCCAAACTGTTAAACTAGAGCTGTAATAATAATTCTTTTAATCTATTTAGATAGCTGGTAGCCAGTCAATTAGTAAGGTTTGTTCATCCAAAGCTCTGCCTCTCTGAACTCTATTTTCTTCATTTAGTTCTGTCATTACTATTGTCAGGAACATAACTCTGCTTTTAACAGCAGAAGAATACCCAGCCCCAAATAAAGCACTAAAATATGAATACACACATTTTGTGCTTCACCGTCCTGGAGTGCTCTTCAGGACTCTCGGAGGATGTCTGCAGCAGAGCTGATCACCCGAGGTCTCCCTCTAGTCAGGGGAGGGAAGTAGCTACTTTTAGGACATGGTTCATTTAACTTATTTTGGAGGCTTATTTTGTTGTGCTGTAAGTTGCATCTTGAAAGAGCCTTATAGGATGCTGTAGTCTGAAGGGAGTGTAGGTACCCAGTTGTGGGGTAGAATTCAGCTTCAGGCTGCCACACGCACGTTGAGTTACTTCTGAGCAGCTGGGTCCTCATGTGAGTGCAGCATCTCCATTCAGATCAGTGGAGATGTCATCCCTGTAGCTGGTGGAGCCTGGAAGGCAGTGCCACTCTCCCTGAGCCAGGCGCTGCTCTGTGGGATTGCTCGCTATGAACGACTGACTGGGCTGGACAGGACACAGTGTTCTTAATTTGGCTGCTGCCATAACATACAATAAAAAATGTTTCTATAAATACATTAGCAACAAAAGGGGAGCTAAGGAGAATATCTATCCTTTATTGGAT